GCGATGCTCGCAGGCGCGGCGCGTTGCCTACCCGGAGTCCTTCAGGCGCCCTCGCCGCGGCAGAGCCCGCCCCGACGGCGCAATGCTCTCTCCAGCCGCCACTTTCCCGCTGGAAAGTATCACTTCGGCATCCACGGCGACGGACGAATACAGTTCCCGTTCCTCAAATAGCTTATGCCAAAAAATAAAACAAAAAAAAAACACACACACACACACACAAAAACAGACAAGGATTTGCCAGGAAGGTGGCACGCTGACGCAGTAAGCTGGCAGCCAGCGGGAGCGGAGAGACATATTTTTACGTATTCCGTTCGCTTGTTGGGGGGGAGGGGCGCTTCCCGTATATTCCATTCTTTTCCATACACTATACATGTCTGAGCCGCGGGCGGGGTGGGGGAGAGCAGGGGGTGGTTCTAGTTTATTCAGACCGTCAGGTGGGGGGGGCCCCCCCCCCCCCCCCCCCCTCTCTCCCCCGCGAGAGGAGCCTTTTTGTCGCGGCCGGAGTGGCAGCGGCAGACCAGCCAGGCCGCCCGGATGGAGAAAGGGATCAGTGATCCCCTCCACCCGAGTGTACCATGGTGAACAGGGCGAACACCGACGAGGAGCGGGATAGGTAAGCCGCGGAGTGCGGGCCGTGAAAGAAGCGGGGCTCACAAAAAAAAGAAAGAAAGAAGATTAGCTGTAGTACTGAAGCCAATAGCTTAATACGGCATATCTAATTATTTAATTATGTTGCCGAAAAGATTTTTGAGTATCAGATTTCTAGATGGTTAGATTAACGTCAAAAAGCAACATGGCTAATTTGGAACTACATTCCTAAATAATCATTATTTATCCATTACGGTTTAGCTATACAGTTTATCTTTATTTTTTTCTGTCTTTTTTTTTTTTTGTTCCCCGTGCCGGTTTGGGACGCAGGACGCAGCCACGCGAAATGGCTTCGAATGCTTCTATGCTTCAACTGAAGAGACTTCGGTCGTGGGGCGCGCGCGGCTCTATCGCGAGGTTCACATGATCGGGCGGCGAGACGAAGGGCTGCTGTTGATGGGTCCGCGCAGAGGAAGAGATGGGGGGGGG